GCATCATCATCGTCATTATCATTATCGTCGTCATTGGGACCAGGGAGTGGGCCTGTGTCTAAGGCCTGCGACATTGTCTGCCTTATTTATGTTTGCCCTAACTCTGCCGCGAACAACAGCCAAAATAATTCGCTAATGTAACCATAAAATTAACTAAAATAACAAAACGCGAATTTTAGCAAATAGAAAACTGAATGACTACCAACATGCTCCTAGTTAGTCTAAGCAGAAGAAGAAGAAGAAAATAATACTATTTGCATTGCCAAAGAAAATAATACTATTTGCATTGTCAAAGGTTATGAAATTAGAATGTAAATTACTTATTAGGATAAAAAATATTAGATATTACAAAAATCAGAATTGAAGTAAATAATAAAATTATAAGAACAGAAAATTATATTAAAAATCCATTTGTGCTCGGTATAAAATTGTATATTAGACTTATATATTTAAAAAATTATGTACGAAAAATAAATAAGTTAATATGATAAATACTAATAAAAATAAATGTAATTAAAAAAAAAGAAAATTATTAAACATATAAAAAAAAATCTGGTTTATATGATATATACTAAAACACTATATATTAAAAAATATATATATACATATATATAAATATATATTAAAACAATATAAAATAAAAAGCTTGTGCTCGAAACATACAATATTTAACTTTAATTTATATTTATAAACTAATGAAAATGAAAAATAATAATAAATACATTTATTTATAAAAAACTAAATAAATATTAAGAAAATATATTTGCTCTTAATATATATAGTAATATATTTTCATTTGATTTCTCAAGTCAGGAGACTCTCACGCCGAAAGCGCCCGTTTGATGGAATTGTAGGGTATAGACGGTGATCGGTCTGTCTGCCATATTCAGTTTACATAGCCGATGTCATTTATCGTCACGTCAAGAATGCCGCACGTGTGACATCTAACGACCGCCGGTCAACGCCAGGCAATGGACTATGGTCGCAATGCATTGTGACTGAGCAACGGAACGCATTGTACATGCTCCCACACACACACACACATACACATACATTGGCAAACAGCACGCGCGTGTGGCTATTTACAGTTACATACGCTGGCGTGTGTCTCCCATTATTGGGTCAACAATTAGCTATACTGGTTATAGCAAATGTTATTATTACTACTGCTGTTGTTGTTGCTGCTGTTGTTGTTGTTGCTAATGTTAGCACTAGTGATGCTAATATATATGCCCCATTTGTGAGCATATGTATGTGACTGTGATGTGTCACAGTGCTAATGGCCATCAAAATGATCATCATCTGTGAATATTTGATTGTCTGATAAAGTCAAATGCGTAAATGTTGGTGTGTTTAAGGTAAACACAGTTTCGTGCTGCAACAGACACAAAATCCAAATAATTATCGAGGTCCAGCAACTAATTACTCATACGTCATGTGGTACTAAGTAGGTTATATAGGATAGTCACGCTTCAGACGTCTGAATGAGTCACATATCGTGCGAATTTATTTTTTTTGTTTTTTAACACAGTTTTCAGGGCTATTTTTTATCTATATTATAATTTCAATGCAATAATTTACTAAGCATTTGCAATAATATTGATGAAGATTGATAGAGCAAAATATAAATACAAAGTGTATAAATTTAATTGGTTTTAGATACCAATGCACAAGTAGAGCTAGCAAGCTAATATACACATTTGATTGAAATATAAATACTTGATGAGCTAAAATTAAAGTTTATTGTATTCGGAGAAATAAGAGCTAAAATGAGCAATCGAGTCAAAAGAGATACCAAGAGAGATCTATCTTGCATTTAATATTCTTTGATTATTGAAACGAAACATTAGATTTAACAACTTTAATCAGAAATATAATAACATAATAACTGTATGATACGATAAATGCAATGATATTTATACTTTTATGCGCTGATAAACTCTTATCGACGCCCCGTTGCCATAAATATGCCGAGCTTATATATATATCCCATATTCGCAGTATATCCCAGGCACATTAGTTGGATTTAAGGGGCATCACTCAAATAAAACAAATATATATACATATATAATTATACATATATTTATATTGCAAATTAGACAAATTTTTATTGCTACCGTTTGGCAGACCAAAAAGCGCGTGAATCGTATTTAAGTTGAAGTATTTAAATTTGCAGCCCCCATTTGTTACATTTAGAAACTGACTCAATTCGTTACACACACACACACAGACACACGCGCGCACACGCACACACGAACACAGTGATTGCAAACACGTGTGGGCGCCAAAGCCGGTAAATAATAAAACCAAAAGCCAAAGCAAAAAGTAAAAGAAGCGAATTTATTCGTTGTAGTTGCCTGCATAAATTAAAAAGACTTTGTCATTCAATCGCAGTTAGAGAAGCGGACGCGTCAGCGCTGGCGACGCCGACTGCGACTGCGACGCTAACAGCGGCAGCGGCAGCGCCGGCGACAGCGACAGTGAAAACGACAACGAAATGGCGATAATTTCGTTGCCACGAGCTGCTCACAGACAGCCAGACTCTGAGAGAGTGTGCGTGTGCGTGTGAGTGTGTGAATGAGAGAGAGAGAGAGGAAATGGGAGCGGGCAGCGAGGGGATCGGCTGCGGCTACACAAGCCAACCAGCGAGTCAAAATAAAAAATAAATTAACCCAGCTGAAACATTTTGGCAAACGAACCCAAAGACATGACTTGGACATGCCGAATTCAGCCGGCGATGCATGCTCTTCTGGCTCGAAGAGCAACCGGGAAGACAGACAAGCACTCGCGCTGGGCATGTTCGCTTATGTCTGTATATTTATTTCCCAAAGTTCCGCTGGGTGCACGAAAATGCTTTCACATGGTGTTAATGAATTTCTGTGCTGCTGTCTCTGATGCTCGTGTGCGTTTGCATGTACGCGTGCATGTACGCGTGCGTGTGTGCGTGTGCGTTTGTGATTTGTATGTGATTTTCTCTTGTTGTTTTTATTGATTTTACGGCGCACGTGTTGCGGCTGATGTAGTCGAACGAAGCAACGACCAATGCTCCGCACTTCCTCTCCCCCATCCCCTCTCCCATCATCTACAAGCAACGCACAATATGGAGCAGCATTTGTTGTTACTATTTTCGACAACGGTTTGTTTATATTTTCAAAGGTTTTTTGTTTTGTTTTTTGTATTGTTTATGCGAGTGCTGCTCTTTGGATAATCATGAAGTTTTAATGCGCAACGCGTTCGAGCCTTAATTGTAAATCTATTATTATGGCCACCACGGGGTGTCATGTTTGGGGCGCCAATAGCCAAGCCAATCGCTGTGCGAATTTATTTGGAAAACGCGTCGGGCTTACTCACTTTAAAGGATTGTGTGCACAATTAAATAATATCCGGCTGCTCAATCATTAAAATAGCTGTGCACAAGCACTTGGAGGGTATGAAATTCAGCTGGTACTTGTCCAAGGATACACAACGTATAGGTCGGTCTATAAGGCACTGAATTGACCTGAACCGGTTTAATGTTCGTAGAACGTGTGCAATCTGATCGAATCGATGGTAGCTAAATTAACATACATATGTATGTTCTACATAATATGGAAATCTATATATAATAACTCTGTTCGACTAATTTAATTGCTGCCATTAGCGGCAAATTAGTTGGTCTAAGCCGGCTTCAGGTGGCCGCAAGTGCAGCGCTTAAGCGTCTCAGCTCACACGGCCAAGTGAGAGCATTAATTCGCGTCAGTAAATAAACAGCTGTCACTCAACGGCAGATGGAATATGTTGTCAAAGTCACAGCTTGATTCGCTTTTCTGCTGAGCACTTGAAAAGCAAAGCAGCAGAAGCAAAAACAAAAATACAAAAATTGAATACAAAACCTCGCTTACGACATTCGCACGTATTTTTTGTTGTTTTCTTGACTAATTCGTTTTTTGTCTTTTTTTTTTTTTTTGCTTATTTTGTTTACATTTTTTTTAGGCAATTTGAAGGCTTCAATGTGAGAAGCGCTTCACACGCTCCGCTTTACGAGCGGCAATTCCCATTGAGCAGCCGAAGATTGGCTCTGGCCAATGGGGCAAACGAGGCAGCAAGAAGGCATCAGCGGGCCATCGACACGCTCGAGGTTCCAGGAATTGTGCAAATAAATAAAGAGTGTTGTATCGATATGCTTCGACACAAATTGATTCTAAAGACTCTATGTTCAGTTGTAAGCTGATAAGGGAATAACGAGAAGTATGAGACTTTAATTAACAAACGATCGAATATCAAATGAATTGTAAAGGAATTGTATTATTTGATTAGAAAATGAAATATAATTCATTATATTTTTTAATTAATTCGTAATTTCTATTTATGTGAAAAATGCTTTATAATTTTAAAATTATGCAAATTGTATTTTCAGGCCGCGTGGTCTGGGAGAAATCAATAATGCGCATACGCCATGTATGCCAGTTGGCCAACTGCAGTCGCAGTCGCAGCGTGCAGCGTGCAGCGCGAGCAAAGGCCAAAGGGCAGCGACTATACGACAGCAGTCAAGAAGCAAACACAGAGATCCGAACACACACACGCACACAGAGAGACAGTCATGCACACAGGATATTCGTCCTTGAGAAGGTGAATGCTGATTGTAAGCGATGCTGCAAGGCGAAAGGCATTAATGAAGAGGAGGGACGAAGCAGCGCATGTAGGCGCAAAGTTCTTTAATGCATGCCCACACACACACACACACACACTCGAACGCAGGGAGACAAAAATAACAACAGCAAGAGCGAGATGGGCACATTTACAGAGCGAGAGGCAGCGAGCTGAAAGCTCTCTGCAATGGGTAACGTTGATGGTGACATGCAATTTGTACAGGCGACACGTGTGGCCGTTGGACATTTATTTATCTCTCTGTTTCTTTGCCTTTCGTTCTCTGCGCTCTTTTTGGGGCGGGGTGGGTGGTGTTTGGCGGGCGACTAAGACTGCTAGATTTATGAGCCAATTTATTTGTGTGCGCTACTCACCCGTTGGTTTGTTTCAGAATCGTTTAGCAGTAAGTGATGCAGGAATGTATGCGTTTGCCGTTGTTCTCGCTTAACAGCTGTTTGGCGACCGCACACTAATACACACGCACAGGCACGCACTAGCTCACGGATATGCACACGCACAGCATAAACACGTTTTATTTAATTTATTGCACGCTCATTGAAACTAATGAGCATTCTTGTTGTTTTCACACGCTTCTAATCTATTCCCTTCTAGATAGTCTCACCGCCAACAACAATGACAAATGCGACGCAGGCTGCGACGCTCGCTGTGACTGCGACTGCGACTGCGACGTGTATGCAATTATTGGAGATAGACGCGTCTGTTGGCAACACGCGCGCAAACAAAACTTTCGCTTTCGTTACGCGTTAGACACGAGCACCCAAGCACACCAATACATTGGCACACTCACACACGCGCGCACACAGTTTGAACAGCTTGCACATATACACGTACAAGTACGTAAATGCTGAGTGCTTTGGAACTGTTCAATTGGACTGAAAAGCTCTTCTCTTCTAGCGAGGCGCATGGAACAACAGCGCAAAGCGGAATGAAGCCGCGCTGCCAGCTGCGCGTCGTTTAAATACGTGCACACAGCCGCACACCCGACACACACGTCGAAAGTATTTTCAGCGAACGAAACCTAATGGAATCTGACTGAAGAATAATTCAGGTAAAACACGAGTTAATTGAGGGACTTTAAAAATCGTATGCAAATAATTAAATATTTCTCTTTCTCAGAGTATAAAATTATAAAATAGGCGTTAATAACCAGTTTAAATCGACATCAATAATTCATATTTTCATCCATTTTGAAGCATAGGCTAAGTGCATTAAATAGTCTAGCATCTTGTCTAGCGAACCGTTACTTGCATGCTACGTTTTAAGTACCTGCCATATTAAGCGTACCGCCTTATCAAAATTTTCGGATAGCAACAAATGAACGGTGTGTGCACATCAGCATCATGAAAATAAAACAAGCAATCAGTCGCGGATGATTTATTTTTAAAGTATTTATTCTATTCTAGTCGCGTTTCAACTGTAAATGACCCACGCATTTAGTTTTTGCTGCCTGACAAAGTCGGCGAATGTTGCCAGCAACAAATGTTGATGCAACAGATGCTGCAGCAACAGAGCGTGCTGAGCGCCATGTGCCTGAGCTAACTCTCATTTCCCTTTCGTTCTCGCTCCCTCTTTTGTTCACTCACTCACTCTCTCTGCCTCACTCATTCACACACATACATACCCGCCCTTTTAGTCAATTTTGTCGCACGTGTCGGAAATTTTGTTACGGCCGATTGCTTTTCTCTATGTTCTGTATGTGTGTGTGCGTGTTTGTGTGTGTGTGTGCGGCTCGCTGTGTTTGTGGGTGTGAATATTTTGTTAGATTCTCTCGCTTGATGTGCGTTGCGCGTGCTAATGAAAAGGTAATTCAATGCCCTATGCCACGGGCAGGTGACGCTTGTCCAACTAACGGTAAACACAGACAGCGCGTCTGATTTCCGGTTTTTCGATTCTTTGTTTTATCGGCAAGCGATGCAAACCTAAAACAAAAGCAAACAGAGAGTCATAAACGAACACACACACACACACAAATACAATTGGCGCAAGAAGCGTAGCAAAAACAATAAAGAAGAAATTAGCATAACACATGAGCTGCCTCTCGACAGCCGTCAGCTGTCACCTCTCTGCCCCTCTCTCTCATGCTTTCGCTCGCTCTCGCTCTGCCTTACACTACCACCTACTGCAAATGGTTCTGTATGGTTTTAATGGGTTTGTGGGTGTTTTTGTTTTTTTTTTTCATGCTTAGCGGCAGACATTTTTCAGTTTCAATTGCCAACACGTGCGGGCGCGAGGCGTCCGAAACAAAAGAGCGAGCAAGTGGAGCAAGAGCAGTAGCTGGAAAGTGGATAGTAGAGAGAAGAAGACGGAGTATGGAGTGACGCGGAGGGGCTGGCTGTCTGGCCATTTCACTCCCTGAAAATGGCGACAGAGCAGCTGTAAAAAGTTTTGTGCGCTAGCGAAACGGAAAATTAACTTGCAGCCGTTGACATAAACGGGCCAAAGGGGCGGCTGGAGGAACGGCACAGAGCGGCGACAAAGGCGTGGTCATTTTGCTGTCCGCTCACTTGCGTCAATGCAAAACGCGTTATAAGCATATCAACAGCATTGACCACGTAAAGTGCGTAATCAAGAGGTGGTAAATTTATATTTTGCAAGACGAATTAAACACGCGCCAGCCAGCAATAGCAGCAATAACAACGCCCCCAGACCCCCAAAAAAAAAAAAAGCTCCACTTCTCAAGCACATGTACGAACTGGTGAAAACAGGAATTTATACAAATGAAAAAAAAAGTCAACAAACAAACCAGCGATGTGGGAATACCCTAAACAGAATTGAAAATAATATAAATTAAATTATTTTTTTTATGCTTATTAGATTTATTTGTATATTGTTTGTATTTGTATGAGAGTTCTAATCAAACCAAATATTAATACTAATTTTTGTTTATAATGTTAAGATATAAATGTAGAATTATGCCAGATTTCTAGAATTAGTAAAATAATTACAATTATAATAATATTGGTATAATAATATGATCATAATTTGATATTATATATATTATAAACCTAAATTTATGATTTATGGATATTTTTAAATTCATTTTTAAAATTATGTATATAAAGTAAATTAAAATGTATAAAAAATTAATATTAATAAAGACAATTATAATTAACTCTAATCTAAAAATGAAAAAAGAAAAAGAAAATAAAAATTTATTAATAAATAATTAATATATTAAATAAATAAATAAATTTAATATTTTTACATAATTTAGTGAGTTCTGACTAAAATAATATAGAATAATACAAGTTTAATTTTTAGCCTCTACAGCCTTCAATAGTGTTACATACGATACATGCCCAGTTAGAGAAGTGTATAGGTTATTTAATAGGGCCCATCACGTGTCGCGTTGTCTTGATAGAAATCAGAAACACGAACGGCTTCACGAATTTATTCCTTAACAAGTAAGAAAACTCTAGTCGAGAGTGCTCGACTAGATACTACCCTGAACCCAACAAATAAAAATGCCTATTTAGTATGACTGAAATTTCAGTTTCGATGTATTTAAAAATATAAATAAAATACCAAACTCATTTAATAAAATATAAAAATATTTTGAAACAATTAAAAAAGTTAACATCAGTTGCATCGATCGGGAGCCGAACCACGACTTCTCGATCGAGCGTCATGCAGCTAACACACTAGGCCACCTCACTCTTGCCAGTGATGCTGGCAAAACTCAAACAGATTCACTGCTGCAGCGCCATCTACCAAAACTAAACGAAACTAACTGCTGATGTGATTCTAAGAATCTGCTAGAATAACCAAACTATTAAAAACGCACATAAAATATAGTTAAAATTTCAATTTCGGTGGATTTAAAAATATAAATTAAATAGAAAACTCATTTATGAAAATATAAAAATATTTTGAAACAATTAAAAAAAATTAACATCAGTTGCATCGATCGGGATTCGAACCGCGACTTCTCGATCGAGCGTCGTGCAGCTAACACACTACGCCACCCCACTCCTGCTAGTGGCGCTGGCAAAACTCAAATAGATTCACTGCTGCTGCGCCATCTACCAAAACTAAACGAAAGTAACAGCTGATGTGATTCAACGAATGTTTCTAGAAGAAGTTTGAATGTATGTGTGCACACGCATACGATGCTGTTGTAGCTGCTGCACGTGCGTTTGTTAATTGGCCAAATATTTCATTATTTTTTATTAATTTTTGACTGAACGGAATTTAATGAAACTTTCAGCATATGATCTACATATTATATTGAATATTTGAGAAATTTAAAAAAAAGAAAAATCATTTACAATTAACTTTAGTGGCACCTGATTTGAACTTGAATGTTTTTACTCGATAAAAACATAACGGGATGATTTATCGAATTATAAAAGCAAACTTGACGTCCGCGCTGTATATACGGTTATTTTTAAAAAAAATTCAAGTCTCTAGCTCTTATATCTTCGGAAATCGACGCGTTCAAACATACGGACAGACGGACAGACGGACAGACGGACGGACGGACAGACGGACAGACGGACAGACAGACAGACGGACAGGGCCAAATCGACTCAGCTCGTCGCCCTGATCAAGAATATATATACTTTGTGGGGTCTGCCACGCCTCCTTCTGCCTGTTACATACATTTCAACAAAACCATTATACCCTGATTTCCCATTTTCAATGGGTTCAGGGTATAATAAAAATTCCTTAGCCAGTTGTAATAAAATTTACATTTAAAAAGCACATTCTACAAAATGTTTCTATATTTTAAATTTATTATTAGCTTTCAAATGTGACAGAATGGAATTATTGTAAATAGTTTTACTCTTGTTTGGTCAGCGAAAAGAAAATAATTTTAAAATTTTAAATTAATTTAATTTAATAAAAAAAATTTTAAGCAAATGCTGCAATTTATTTATTTATTTATTGTTTTTTTTTTTTTTTTTTGGCAGTGGCATGGCTATCAACAAATTATATTTTATATAAACAAAATAAAATCCACGACACGCGTCCACACACATATATGTATGTTTGTTTGTGTGTGTCCGTCCTCTGTCATCGCTTGCCAAAATAGTGTCAGCCTTGCGGCGTGACAGGCAGCGCGATGTACGGCTATCAATAGATGTCCGGCGGATATTTTTAGACGTGTCAGCGTCTCGCGCATGTAACAATAACAATATCAATAATCATAACAAAAATAACTCGAATTGTACTTGGGTACCGGTTTTTCCAGCATGTGCCGGAGTTCAAATTTCTGTTTGGTTGGCTTTTGATATTTTATAAGATTTCATTTTTTGTTAATTTCTTTGGCACTGCAAGGCACTTATACACGCGCAATGTCAAGGTCTCCCTCTCTTTCTCACTCTTCTCTCTCTCTCACTCTCTGCCTCTATCTTTATCTCTATCTCCATGAACTGCCCGAAAATAAAGTGCCCAGGTGCTAGGAAGCTAGATGAGAGACACGCGCCGAAACTTTGTGCAAATACTACATGTGCTTGTGAATGTGTATGTGTATGACCACATAAATCACACATATGTGTGTCAGTGGCATCTGTGGCCCCCCGCAACTTGGTTGGCGTCAATGCGTGCCCTGATAACGTCGACATGATAACCCTCGGCAAGTAAAACACGAATTTGAGCAAATTTCCCAGGTGCTGTTGAAATTAAATACGCCTAATCGCGGAATTGGCATAGCTCATTTTATGTGATATGAAAAAAAAATTTAACTGCAAAAACAATGAAAAATGGTTTTAGCGTTAACGACCGCTATGCGCATAGCAGTTAGCTTTTGACAGCTTGCGCATATGTATGTGTCTCTTAAACTAGAGACTCAGCTTTAGCGTAGACTAACCAATGCTGCTTGGGTAAGCAGCTTATGCTAAGCAGTGAACGCAAGCAGTGTACACAAGCAGTGCAGCGCTCTTGATAACGAACTTTCAAATTTAAGCGGGAAGAGTAGCTACATAAAATAT